ATCCCAGATCACCACAGACTGTGACTGCAGCCATGAAATTAAAAGACGCCTGCTCCTTGGGAGGAAAGCGATGGTGAACCTAAACAGCATGATAAAAAGTAGAGACATCACCCTGCCAACAAACGTCCGCATGGTCAAAGCAATGGTATTCCCAGTAGTCATGTATGGCTGCGAGAGTTGGACTATAAGGAAGGCCGAGCGCCGAAGAATAGATTCTTTTGAACTATGGTGTTGGAGAAGACTCTTGAGAGTCCCTTGGACTGCAAGAAGATCAAATCAGTCAATCCTAAAAGAAATCAACCCTGACTGTTCCCTGGAAGGCCAGATAATGAAACTGAAGCTCAAATACTTTGGCCACCAAATGAGAAGGGAGCACTCACTGGAGAAGACCCTGATGCTGGGAAAGATTGAAGGTCAAAGAAGATGGGGACGGCAAAGGATGAGATGGTTAGACAGTGTCATCGATGCAACGAACATGAAATCGAGCCAACTTCGGAGGGCGGCGGAAGACAGGAGGGCCTGGCAGGAGCTGGTCCATGGGGTCGCGAAGAGTCGGACTCAACTGTGCGACTGAACAACAACACTGCAACTGAGACTAAGCATTTGGTTCCTTTTTTGTAAAGTATCTACAGGGGTAATGCCAAGAGCTTCCATGGCTACTGCTATATTAATGATAGCAGTCTCTAGCTCTCCTGCCTCACCACCCACCCAAAGAATGCTTACGTAGTTAAGGATCAATGACTGCAATACATATTGGGGACAAAAGCACTCCCTCACCTTTGCACAATTTGTCCCACAGAATGCCATTCTATGGCACTGCACTTGGGTTGATCAGAAGGTTACACAGTTGATATCTCTAAAATAAGTATTCTCTCTTTTCTCTTTGCTGAAATTTCTCTCAAAAAGATTTTGAAGCTTATAAAGACTGAGAGACAAGTGATCAAAATTTGCCTTTCAGTAATTTTATAGTTTTATACCTGCCTGGAATTTATAAAAATAAAGAAGAAATCATTCTGCAACTTAGGGAATAAATTGAATGCAGTGTACATAAAGTACCAAAGTCTGTCTTAGTTACATATGCTAAAATAGTCTTGTTCATACTATAGCAAAAAGGATTTGGACAACTGTGTACGGGTGAGTTTTGCTTATGGTTGCCAAGTCAGAGTTTCACCGCAGCGGGGGACTCCTGGCTGGTGGCTGAAGTGCACGCGCGCCGCATCCATGTCACTCGGAACTGACGCGACCACGCCGGGCAGGCTTGGGGGGAGCCCATGACCATCCGAGGGAAAACCATAGAGTTTTCTCTCGGATGACCGTGGCCCCACCCCTAGCGTGCCCGGCGTGGTCGTGTCACTTCCAGGTGCTGTGCACGTCAGGGTGGAGTTCCCCCCGGGGCCCAATCCGCCAGCGGCGGGGAACGGGCCTCTGGGGCGGGGTTTTCCTCACCCCCCAGGGGGACTTGGCAAGCCTAGTTTTGCTGCATACATACCTACTGCAATAATTCCACAAGCATACAGTGCCAGAAGGATTGAAAGTTTTACTGGAACAAAAGCAGGGCATTTCCAGGCCTCTGCTTCAACAAAAAACTAACAGCAGACAACCAGCCGAGGAAAGTGAAACTAAACTACAGCACATTTTCCAGCTCTAAGGGACCAGGAGAAAATAATTAAACAGTTCAATAAGGGAACATCACCAAATTCACAACTTGCCACAATATAACACCTACACATAATTTTTCATCAAACATTAGTATCTATACAGTGTTGCTCGCTAATTCCCATAAGGGAGCATGCAAAGGAAGTCTCACAGCAGATTGATTAATCTGTCCATTAAGGGCAATGGAGATGTACTGCACTCTGTCAAAATGTCTTTTTAAGCACATGAAGAAATCAAAATACAACACAACCTATATTTGTTACTGTTGGCAAAGTTTAAGCATGCAGAGGAATGGAGCACCAACTGTTTAAAGCAAATAACTTGGTTTATTAAAAAAGAAATAAACTCTGAGGCCAATTCTGCATTAAGGGTTTGCTTTCAGTAACCTGCGCGTTCTATTGGCCCAGATCTGATACATTGCCTAGCGTCCCTTTGGAAAGCCATCTGAGCCAGCGGTCCTCATGGGGGGTCACTCTGGTGGCAAGGAATCCTGCAAGCAGGGCCGTAGCTAACACAGAGCCCGCAGGGCCCATGGGGCCCCGCCCCCTCATGTTTTGGGGGGGCCACCTCCCTCCTGGGCTGTCCCCGAAGTGCCTCAACTTGCCACCTGTGTGCCACTTTGCACCTTGACTGAGAAACACCCCCACTTAAATCTTCGGACTGCAAAGACCCGGGGTGGAAGACAGCCACACCTTTTTTAAACTGGGGCGGGGTGATTTATGCAGGATGTCAAAAGCGAGAGGGGAAAGAGAAGCGGCCTTCTGCTGAGCCAGGGGTGCTGCGGCATGAAATTGACCAGCGTATTGAAACTGACTCGAAATCTCAAAGTCCCTTGCGAAACAAACACAACAAGGTTTACTGGGAAAGGAAAGGAAAGGGAGATCGGAAGGGCTGAGCCAGAAAATACAGGGGGGGGACTAATATAAAAAGTGCTTTCCTGGGCATCAGGCAGTTTGAGTAGACCTGGGTAAGACTCTGCTCAGGTCAGGGTTCCTGTGGAAATGGGGCCAAGTCAAAGGCAGAAAGGGAAATAAGTTTTTTAAAAAGGAGGAAAACCGGGAGGAAGGAAAAGGCAGCAGAAATGAAGGGACCGAAATGAAGGTGTTGAGGAAAGGGGGTCACCAGAAGAAAAGAGAAGAAAAGAAAAGTGTTTGGAGTGGCTGAGAGAACATGTGGCCTTCCGGTGGCAGTGAAGGGTTACCTATATTGATGTAGCCGTACTTGCTAGCTATCCTGTTGGCTTCAGGGAGCCCGCCACTTATTCTCACCACCCAGTGGTTGGAGTACACATGAGTCCTGCAGCTGCTGGACATTACCCCTCCACACTTGTTCTGGAACTTTTGATTAAATTAGCTGCCACTTCCACCTGGCCCCGTCCCAAAAAAGACTCTAGCTACGGGGCTGCCCGCCAGTCCTTATCGCTAGGCCACCATGCTTGTCCACCTGGAGTGCCTCGCCTCGTCCCATGTGTAGGCAGCAGCAGCCACATGCTGGGGGGGGGACTCCCAAGGAGCACTCCCTCCCCTGCCAGCCCACCGGGGAACTGGCAGCTGGACTGCCCCAAAGGAGAGAGACGAGAGGATAGCGGGAGGGGGTGGGAGCAGCATGCCCTGCCAGGAGCTGTGGTGCTTCCTTTTCTGGGAGAGCAGCGCTGTTTGGTGGGTGGGGGAGGGGAGTCTGCTGCGATGGATCCTACCAGCACAGAATCCTCCGCTGGGTGACTCAAATCTAACACACCCACCTCTCAAGCATGCCCTGATTGGCTGTACTGTGGTTAGACCCCCTAATTGGCCAGAGAAGTAGGGAAGGGTGGGGGTTGCTTTTTGGAAGTGAGGAGAGTGGCGGGAAAGGGTGGGAAGGGGCAAGACTAGGCAAGCATTGGGATACCCCGAGTCCAGCACCAAAGCAAAAAAAAAAAGATCATGAAAATCCCAGAAAAGGAAAGTGCGGGGAAAAGTGCATGTGAATCAGGTCAACTGGTGAACCCGCATAAACATATGGGGAAATGAAGAAGAAATTCAAATAATTTCAGGTGTCCATGTCAGGGCAGGAGATTGTGCGGAATCGGCCTGAGAGAACAGAGGAGAGGCACAGAGGCTTGACTACCTGCTGTGAGAGACAGGAATGAAAGGGGAGAGCTCAGTTGGGGCAGGAAGTCTCCAAACAGCCAACCGGGAGACAGGAAGGACATAATTTGAAATTGTGGGAAGCCCCTAATCTAGCTATACTAACTAGCAGTCCTTCAGCTATACCATATAGGCCGTTCTTCTGATTATCTTCAAGTAGGTGCACTATAGACCTTGTATATTCCAACAGTTACCTCATATGCTCTAATCCTACATGTACATCTATCCCAGTAGATTTTTAAAGCAGACCACAGAAGGACTAAAACTTTAGGATCGCCATGGGTCCCAGACTGCTCTTGCAGGCATAACTGGCAGCTGCTCCATACAAACAGAATTTCGGCAATTTAATCATGAGGATGTGTGATCAGTGGATAGAGGCAACCACTGATATGCCATTTTTGTCTTCCTGATAGAAATGAACAGCAGTAGGGGATGCTTTAGTTGTTTCTAAGCAATGAGGTACATTGTTTTACTAATACTTTCCCTCACTTGCCTGTCTCTGAAGTTCTGGTTATGAGTCTACCAGGCCTAGGGATGAGTGTTGAGCTTATTACTTAAACACACAGTGCACTTGGTTTATTTCCTCAGCTGTTTTATTTTTTATTATTATTACAGTAATAATTGCTTTAAAATGCATTCTGAGCATGCAATATATATTTTTTATTTCAAACTTTTATTTTTGGATATAACAACATATTCAACATTACGTTTCAAATAACATATATCCATATATCTTATCTCCTCCCCCCCTTGGTGGCTTCCCGCAATGCTCCTCCCTCCATTCCCTCTTTTATTTCTATTATCTTTTCACATTTTCATTCTTAAGTTTCAAGGTAACAATATTTGCTCTATTCATTCCATACCTTTATATATTTCTGCTCTTAATAATTATCAAAACAAAGTAAATTATGTTTTACATCCCAATTTTTTTCTAAATATTCTTTAAAGTCTTCCCACTCTTCATAAAATTCTTGATCTTCTTTGTTATTAAGTTTCTTTGTTAATTTGTCCATTTCATCCATAAATAATACTTTCTGTATCCATTCCCCTTTTTCTGGTATTCTGTCTTGTTTCTGGCATGCAATATTTTTATTCACTTTAAGAAATATGGACTATAAGTTAATATAGAATTCTCAAAATCAATTGCAGAACTGGCAATATTTTCTCTCACCACCAAAGAAACAGTTAATATCTCCGAAGAAATAGCATTATACCAACCTTGCCATCCAGGTTTACATACAGGCTTGACTTCAACTCGCACTAAGACGTCTTCAGTTGCACGTTTTTGTCCGCAATCAAGAGCAGTTACCATTATCTCATACTGGTGCTGTTTGTCATAACTCAGTTTTTCAGTATTTCTGATGTTACCTGCAGGCACAAAACAGGACAATAAGCAATAATTGTTTTAAGACACTATGTCCACACGCTTGTCATAGGAAAGATCTGTAGTAGCATACAAAGTGCCTGTAGCACACAAAAAGGTCACTGCAAAAAGAAACAGGTGGTAGAAATCTAGAAAAGGAGAGCAATATAAAGTGACACCACCTTGAAAGTTATCGAGACCTTTTGAAGAACATATCAACATTTATCACATCACTACTCTTTAGTAACCATCTTGTGAGAAATCGTTAACAAGCATTATAATTCTTTATTCATGGCAATTTGTACTTTATTGGACTTATAACCTTGGTCTGAGTTTATCAATTTTGTGTGGTTTTGGAATGTTTTTTGAAAATTCTGTCCATTATATGGAAATGAATGTTATTTGTATGAATTGCTGTTAATAGGAATTTTTGCTTACATGAATTAGATATTGAAAGTTATTGAATATTTGATTTATTTTTTCATAGTTAATGTTTCACTTGCTTTGCCTCAACCTTGAGGTGGAATCCTGGAATTAGAACTGATTTCCAGGCGACAGAGATCAGTCCACCTGGAGAAAATGGCTGCTTTGGAAGGTGGTCTCTATGGCATTATATCTTGTTGAAGTTTCTCCCTTCCCCAAACCCTACCTTCCTTAGGCTCCACCCCCAAAACCTTCAGGTATTTCCCAACCTGAAGCTGGCAACCCCACTTCCAGGGGGAAAAAATGGAAGTTAATATGGCAGACAACCAAGAATTTTGTGAGATATTCCTTTACACTGTTGCACAAGGACCCACCCTGCCATCTAGTCCATCCCCCTGCTCAATGCAGGATTAGCCTAGAGCATCCCTGACAAATCTTCCTCCAGCCACTGCTTAAAGACTGCTAGTCCTTAAAAGTGTTGTTCTGAAAAATAATAAATTTCCCATGAGGAAGAGTCAGAAAGTTGTTTCTGAGGATGATGCTGTCTGAGGTAAACCCATTCCAGTTGTATGTGCACTTCACTCTGGTTTGGTTTATTAAAAAACAACTCACAAACAATTATACATGATAACTGCTACAAGACTTGTGTTTCCAAAGGTCTGGAAACATTCAAAAGAATGGGGATTGGTTAAATAAATATTTCAAGATGTTAATAAAATGGGGGGGAGAACCTTGGAAGAAGGTTAAGTTAGATGGATACTATACAGAACTGATGATGTTCTTTATTTATAAGTACTATTGTAAATTTTTGTTTATATATATACATGAATGATTCTTTTGTGTACAAATGACTAAAGAACTTCAAAAGACTTTCTTTTGACATTGTGTGGTTGAACTGGGAAAGTGAATTGGTGATAAAAAAAAAAGACCTCTTTGTTCCCTTTGGCGAATCTGATCAGCTTTTTAAAATGACACTATTGTGGAACCCACTGAAAAATAAAATTCTGCAGCAACAAAATCAACCTGACAGAGCATAAATGTGACAAATCACCTGTCCTGGTAACAAAGAAATAGCAGCGTTCACAAGAAAATGAAAAGGGAAAAAAAAAGCAGCAGGTGGCTTCCACTATCTGGAGGGATAGGAAGCCTTCTCATTCTAAAGCATTCTGTGTAATTAATGAGTTCAGCATTTTAATTCAGGCCATTTTTGCTGAATGACAGTTCCTTCTCTACCTGAACCATGGAAAGTATAATACATATTTCACATTATTTGCACTAACAGATTAAAGCTTTCTGTAGCCAAGGAAAGTTTAATCTTTCTCCTATCCTGAAGCTGTGCTCATTTTAAATAGGTATTCATGTTCTATTCTGTATATCCTACAGACTGACTAAAGTGGATTACATGACTAAAATATTTCACTCAGAATATTGAACCATTTGCTACCTGAACCTCTGTAACAATTAGTTTGAGTCTTCAAGCTAAATATATCAAGAAGACAAGCTTACTGGGTCTCTTCCAACAATACAAGCGGGGACCCACAAGAAACTTGCAGGAGTGGTTATCCCATTACCCCCCCTATGCTTCTTCCTCTCTCTCTCTCCTTCTCTCTTTCTCCATACTGCCACCCCTTTTCTTACTGTCTCTCCCCCCTCCATGTCTGTCACTTCCTTTCTGCCCCCACCCCATCACTCTTTCTGCCCCCTCACTCTCCCGGCCTCCCACCTCCCCCCACACACAGCAGCAGTGGCAGCAGCCACTCTCCAGAAATCACACTAGATTGCCCAAATACAGAGACCAGTTCCTCTTAGTGTTGCCAGCTCCATGTTGGGAAATTCCTGGAGATCTGAGGGAGGAGCCTTGGGAGGATGAGGTTTGAGCTTTGAAGTTACCTCAGCAGGATATAATACCATAAACTCCACTCTTCAAAACAGCCATTTTCTCCGGGGGAACTGATCTCTGTCATCTGGAGATCTCCAGCACTTACATGGAGGTTGGCAACATTAATTCCCCTAGAGGAAATGACTGCTTTGGAGGGTGGAGTCTAGGGCATTATATCTGAAGTCCCTCCCTGCCTCAATCCCCACCATCCCCAGGCTCCATCCCTCAAATATCCAGGAACTTCCCAACTTGGAGTTGGCATCCCTATCTTCTTCCCACCCAACAGCCAACCCACCTTTATCTGCCCTCCATCTTCAGCTTTCAATTTCCTTTCCCCCTGCAGCTTCTTCTGAGGAAAACTATGGTCTTTCTCCACAGTGGGGACTAAAGAAGTTTACATTATTCTTTCATCCTTTTAATCCACACAACAACCCTATGAGGTAGGTTAGGTTGAAAGTATATGACTGTTCCAAAATCACCCACTGAGCTTCCACAGCAAGATGGGGATCTAAACCTGGGTCTTGCAAACCCTACTCTGAAGCTCTGACTATTATACATTGACTTTCATAGGGTAGCTGCAGCCAAACCTAGTTGAATCATGCAAGTCAGGTGGTATCAAGTCACCCAGAGTATGCTGCCAGGCCTAGGTTTGCCAGCCTTCGGGTGGGACTTGGAATTTCCCAACCTGGAGTGGGCAATCCTAATCCCAAAACTGGCTCCAAAATAAGCCTTGAAAGTGCCCTGCCCCCCCTGCCTTTTTAACCCCTCCCCCATCATTCATACTGCAGGAGGAATCCTCCCCAATCCAAGCTTCCCCCCACATGAATCAGCCAGTCTATCTCTCACTGTTGATGCAGCATGGCCTGGAGTAGATCCCTGTGGTGGCTATTTCAAAAGGCAGCGGGGGGGGGGGATTCAACCCTACTCAAGGGTTTTTTTATTTTTTTTATTTTTCTGCAGTCCAAGGGAGTCCCTTGAGTCTGTAGAAAAACCTGTTGGGGGAGAGTGTGCCCCCTATCTGTGGAAATAAGTATCAGCACACAGAGAGGACTTTTGAGAATTAGATATATAGATAACTCTAGAAACCTACTGTAAGTCTTACTTAGTATCAGTAATATCAACTGTTAGCCAAATTGCCTTGAATTCTCAATTAATCTAGGGGAAGTTATGATTATTAATTGGCAACAGGCAATAGGCAAGTTCAGGAACACCCCGACCCTCCAGAAAGCGGTTTAGAGAGCCCAGGTGTCCCGAAACCCAGAAGACAGGGGGGCGGGCACGAGTGCAGGAGAACCGGGGAAGCTGG